CTTCCCGACGCACACCGAGCTGTCTGGCGAGACACTCCCGAGACACTTCCTAGACACCTCCTAGACTCTTCCCGACGCACACCGAGCTGTCTGGCGAGACACTTCCGAGACACTTCCTAGACACTTCCTAGACACTTCCCGACGCACACCGAGCTGTCTGGCGAGACACTTCCGAGACACTTCCTAGACACCTCCTAGACTCTTCCCGACGCACACCGAGCTGTCTGGCGAGACACTTCCGAGACACTTCCTAGACACCTCCTAGACTCTTCCCGACGCACACCGAGCTGTCTGGCGAGACACTTCCGAGACACTTCCTAGACACCTCCTAGACTCTTCCCGACGCACACTGAGCTGTCTGGCGAGACACTCCCGAGACACTTCCTAGACACCTCCTAGACACTTCCCGACGCACACCGAGCTGTCTGGCGAGACACTTCCGAGACACTTCCTAGACACCTCCTAGACTCTTCCCGACGCACACCGAGCTGTCTGGCGAGACACCTCCGAGACACTTCCTAGACACCTCCTAGACTCTTCCCGACGCACACCGAACTGTCTGGCGAGACACCTCCGAGACACTTCCTAGACACCTCCTAGACTCTTCCCGACGCACACCGAGCTGTCTGGCGAGACACTTCCGAGACACTTCCTAGACACTTCCTAGACACTTCCCGACGCACACCGAGCTGTCTGGCGAGCGCGTGCTCCCTTCCTCCCCCGCCTAGCATGCACTGCTGTACGGCCAGCCTGTGTCTTCCTCCCCCGCAGGAGAGCGGCTGCAGCTGTCTCGCGCCGTGGCGGGCGGGTCGTACACCTCCCTCGACGACTACTTGCGCGCGCACTACTGCCTGCTACGTGAAGACATGGTCGCCCCGCTCCGGTCCGCGCTCGCGTCGCTGCGCGGCCCGCAACCCACTTCCGCCGACGGCGCGCCGCGCGAGGCGCGCGAGGGGGGGGCGGGCGCGCCGGCCGTGCCGGCGCCCGACGCGTCCGCCGCCGCCGCCGAGTTCATCCCGGCGGCCAACGTCTACGACGGCGTCGAGCTGCTCTCGCTCAAGTGCGGCGCGCGCGGCGTGGTGTACCGCGTCACCTTCTCGGCGCGTGGGGGCGGCGTCGACTGGGCGTGCTCCAAGCGCCTCCTCTTTGGCTCCCTGCTCGCCCTCTCGTCGGACGGCTTCGCCACCATCCTGTGGGCCACCGTCGCGCACCGCAGCCTCGACCTGCTGCGCGCCGCCGACGGGCCGCGGCGCGCCCTCCCCCTATCCGAGAGGAGGAGCTCTCCCCCTTTTTCCCCATCTCCCCCCCCCCCCCCCCTCTCTCTCCCGTAGGCTTGACGTGTCCCTCTCCGAGGCGCAGCACCGCTCCTTCCAGCTCGCCCAGTCGCGCGGCGCGCGCTTCCAGATGCTCGAGTCGCCAGTCTTCTTCGACGCGACGCGCCACACGCTCACCGCCCTCCAGCGCATCTCCGCCGAGCGGCTGCCCTTCTCGCAGACGCTGCTGGCTTGCGCACCGGTGCCGGTGGTGGAGCCGCCAAAGTGCGCCTCTGCGCAGACGTGCCCTGAAGACGCATCCCCTCGTACCCCAAAGCAGCGGCCGAGAGGACACGGCTTCGGCCGCACTCCGCCGTGCATACACCGTGGTCGCCGCCCCTCGCTTGCCACGCGGTGCGCGTTAGTGCTCCGCCGCAGCACCGCATTCCTGGCCTCCGCGTCTCCACACCGCAGGTACCTCTCCGCCAGCGCCGACGCGGATGCGTGGGAGATGGGAGGGGTCTTCCCCTCCCTCCCCGGCCGCGGCACGCTCCACCTGCTGCAGCCGTGGCCGCGTTCGCTCTCGCAGGGCGGGCAGGGCGGCGGGCAGGGCGGCGGGCAGGGCGGCGGGCGGGCGGCGGCGCCGGCGCTCGACGCGGAGCAGCTGGACGCGCTGCGCGCGTGCCTCACCCGCGAGGTCGCGCTATTAATTCACTATTAATTAACTATTAATTAACTATTAATTAACTATTAATTAACTATTAATTAACTATTAATTAACTTGCCGTGCCTCACCCGCGAGGTCTCGCTGGTGCTAATTAAGTGCTAATTAACTGCTAATTAATTAACTAGCGTGCCTCACCCGCGAGGTCTCGCTGGTGCGCGGCGGGCCTGGCACCGGCAAGTCGATGCTGGTCCGGCTGGCGCTGCGCGCGCTGCTCGCCAACGGCGGCCGGCAGCGCAAGCGCGCGGAGCCGCGGCCGGTGCTCGTGGTGTGCGCGACGGACGTGGCGCTGGACGCGCTGCTCGAGGGGCTGCTGGCGGCGCTGCCGAGCGAGGCGGCGTCCGCCCCGTCGCTCGTGCGCGTGGGCGGCCCGTGCCGCAAGGAGTCGCTACGGCCGCACTCGCTGCGGCAGCGCGTGCTCTCCGAGCGCGAGCGGGACGAGGGGCACGCGCGCGCGTGGAAGGCCCTCTCCAAGCAGCAGCGCGAGCTGCGCGAGCGCGCGGACGGGCTGGTCGCGCGGCTGCTGCGCGAGGCCGAGCCGACGGCCGACGACCTCGACGAGGCGCGTGTGTCCCATACCCGTCCGGAGGGTCGACCCCGGCGGAGGGTTCAGGTCCTGAGGTGGTGCGGTAGGCGTGCTCGACGGCGCAGATCATGTCGCTCTGCTCGGACGCGCCGGGCGGGTGGCACGACATCGAGGAGGCCCTCTCCCTCTGGCTCGAGCCGGTGCGCAAGGCGCGCGCCGCGCGGGAGGCGGCCGCGGCGCCCGCCGCCGCCGCCGCCGCGGGGAGGAAGAAGGTCCTCGTGACGGGCGCAAGGGGGGCCGCGCCGGCGGGGGGCGGCGGCGGCGCGTGCGGGGGCGGCGGCGCGGCGGCGACGCCGGAGCGGCTCGTCCGCGGCTCGGGCGGGCGCAAGGCGGATTGGGCGGCGGTGACGCGGGTCGAGTTCACCGACAGCGGCGTCGGCGAGGCGGAGCTGTGGGAGGCGGAGCTGCAGGCGGGCGGGGCGGGCGAGGGTGTGCTGCTCGCTGCGGAGGAGGAGCGGCTCGTCGAGGACACTTGCCGCCTCGATGCCGAGGGAGAGCACGTCCCGCTCGCGCGTGGCGGCGGCGCGGGCAGCGGCGCGCAGCCGCACCCCACCAGACCCCGGTGCCCAAACCCACGGGCAATGGAATAGGCGGTGTGCCGTGGCTCGACGCGGCGGCCGAGGAGGCGCGCACTCGCTCACGCCGACACACACACACCGCGCCCACGCGCACCGGGCCTTGCACCTCCCGTGCCGCGCGGCTCCTGCCTTTCTAGACGGCGTCGCGCGAGGGAGTAGCCTTTTCCCCTTGCCCCGCCCCACTGCGTGCGGGCGTGTGGAGAAGCGGACAGCTCCCCTCACCCCAGGCGCTCGCGGAGGAGGACGAGCTGTGGGGGCTCGACCCGACCGCGCGCGAGCAGCTGTGCCGCCTCTGGATGGCCAAGCTGCAAGAGCCGCTGCACGCCGAGCTCGCGCAGCTGTGCGACGAGCACGAGAAGCTCGTCAAGACTTCCGCTCGAGCTGTGAACGGCGTCTCGTCACACCTCCGGCTGTGAGCAGGCACGAGAAGCTCGTCAAGACTTCCGCTCGAGCTGTGAACGGCGTCTCTTCACACCTCCGGCTGTGAGCAGGCACGAGAAGCTCGTCAAGACTTCCGCTCGAGCTGTGAACGGCGTCTCGTCACACCTCCGGCTGTGAGCAGGCACGAGAAGCTCGTCAAGACTTCCGCTCGAGCTGTGAACGGCGTCTCTTCACACCTCCGGCTGTGAGCAGGCACGAGAAGCTCGTCAAGACTTCCGCTCGAGCTGTGAACGGCGTCTCTTCACACCTCCGGCTGTGAGCAGGCACGAGAAGCTCGTCAAGACTTCCGCTCGAGCTGTGAACGGCGTCTCGTCACACCTCCGGCTGTGAGCAGGCACGAGAAGCTCGTCAAGACTTCCGCTCGAGCTGTGAACGGCGTCTCTTCACACCTCCGGCTGTGAGCAGGCACGAGAAGCTCGTCAAGACTTCCGCTCGAGCTGTGAACGGCGTCTCTTCACACCTCCGGCTGTGAGCAGGCACGAGAAGCTCGTCAAGACTTCAGCGCGAGCTGTGAACGGCGTCTCCTCACACCGCCGGCTGTGAGCAGGCACGAGAAGCTCGTCAAGACTTCAGCGCGAGCTGTGAACGGCGTCTCCTCACACCGCCGGCTGTGAGCAGGTACGAGAAGCTCGTCAAGGACAAGTCTCACCTCGAGCGGTCGCTGCAGCACGACGTGCTCGGCAAGGCGGCGCTCGTCGGCATCACCGCACCCGCGCTCGGCACTGCCCGCCTCGCTGCCGCGCGCGCTCCACGACTCGTCGGGCACGCTCCCGGCTCACCCGCGCATGCCCGTTGCTGGAATCAGGCAAGCTGGCCTCGCTGGTTGGCGCGCTGGAGCCGGACGTGGTGCTCGTCGACGACGCCTCCGAGGTGCAGTCTCGCGCGCACACACACCCTCTCCCCCCATGGTTCAACGGGCCTTTGCCCCCCC